GTGTCATGATGCAAATGATATGTTGTGTAATATATACTGTAGTAATGATATAATTATTAGTACATACGTACACATGAGGTACATATTACAGTATTATTAACAGTTTATGTGTTGCAAACTAATCACAAGTTCCCGAAATTAAAATTAAAATAGCTAATTTATTCTAAGATTATCTATTTAATTCTAAAAAGGATGAAACAATTTAGCAGTTGTTTCCGAAGTACAGTAATAGAGATCAAATTCATTCACTATAATGAGCTTTCATATTACTGAGTTTTCCGTCCATAAACTCTAGTACTAATCCAATAAGTTTGGAACAGATCAACCTCACTCTTAAACTCCTGAAGTAAATTTCTATACTCAGATTCAGAAATACCTATAAATGGTGCGACATCAGATTTATGATCGTTTAAAATCTGAAGCCAATTATATAATGCAAGTTCTCCAATTTTATCTTCCCAATTTCCTAAGGGATGAAGTGTTCTTTGAACGGTAACATCGGCTAAACATTTTGTAGCCTTCATTATCGACTCTAGTTTTTGGGTTATTAGTGGATTGATATCTTTAGATTTGTAATACGATCGTACTATTAGGGGAAAAAAAAATATTGATTTAGAATTACAATGTAATATGTAATAAAATCTAACAGATTATACTAATAATATAAGAAATCAAAAAACAAATAAAAATAATAATTTTATTTACGAGAAGACATCAAACGTTGAGCCGAAGGCCCTTCATTTCCACCTTGAAAATCAACATCCATAATCTCTAAATATCCACCAGGTTTTAAAGTTCTCGCAAGTTCATTTACAAGTGTTTGAAATTGCTTTTCAGATAATTCACTAGATAGGAATCCCACATGTATAAAATCAAATGTTGAATCAGGAAATGGAAGCGGTTCCAATTTTGCAAAATCATAATCTTTTAGAATAAGATTTGGAAGTGTGCTATTTTGGTGTGAGGTTTTCGAATCTATTTTCGTGAATAAAGCATTTGGAAATTCACCGGCCATCTCATAGACCCATGGACCACTTCCACTTCTTTTTAAAAAGATATAATAGATTATAAAAAAAAAAAAAACCTCGAATATAAATTAAAGCATAATAAAAAAAAATATTTTTTTTTTTACCCAACATCTAAAACTTTTATGCTGTCATTTCTGATACTTTCTTTGATAGGTGAAGAAAAATTAGATTGCCAAATATAACGAAACAAATAATGCTGTAAAGTTAATCTATCCCATGTATTATTTTTTTGAGGGAGAGGATATTTTTCATTATTTCTAGATATTTCTAAAGTGTCATCAATTAAACCTTTCTTTTTAGAAACTACACAACCCATCGTTGTATATATTTTATCAAATTATTAAATGTAATATTTTATTTTTTAAAAAAAAAATTGTTATAAATTTTAAGCAGGAAAGAAATTTAACGGAAAACAAAGATTTTTTTTTTTTACCTTTATGTATCTAATCTTATGACTCTTATGCAAAATATCAACTAATTTGTTTGAAAATTGTTTGAAAATCATGGTTTTAATTGGTTTTAAAGTAATACAAAATATAGCCTAAAAAAAATAGAAAAGAAATGCTCTAAAGAACATCTTTTGATCTATTTTTATCAAGCATTTCGGATCAACTGTGGAACGCATATAAGTTTCCTAACAAGTATAATATTTTTTTTAGCTATTCCTGGTGAAAAAGTGTATATAAAAGGAAAAGCAGGTTTCACGAATTTGTAACCTATTTTATATTATAGCCTTCTTCTAGATACTGATCTAAATCTTGTCATACCATATGGCGTCGTGCTATGTTTGCTATCCTGATCCTTATCCTGATCTCATCGCTTTGCTCCAAACAATGGCCATATATTTATATTAAAATCATTCGGTAAAGTTAGCCTTTTTTATATTTTCCCGCTTTCGCCCGTATCTTTATACATTTCGAGTAAAGAATATACATTTCGAAAAATTACTAACAAATTTATAAATTAAAAATCACGAGACACATATAAATTATATACCACCTGCTTTAGACGATTCCCATTTCGAGTAAAAAAAAATTCTATTTTTTTTTTTTGGTCTTCTATAAATATATTAGAATTAAGCTTTTATTGCTGTATTGTAAATACTTAATTTTTAAAGTTTGCTAACGTTAAAATCTTTTCATTTTTTAGACACATACCCATTTTTAAATTAGCGGTATTACAGTATTTGTTTATAATTTTATAATTTTCAAATCAAAGTTGAAAATATCAGAATTGATTTTTGGGAACGTCAAATAAATTATCCATTCCTGATTTTTCTATTACAGCCATTTTCAAAAAGGTGTGGGATCACCATGGCATGGGAATTCACCATATTTCCCGGATTTCCGGAGTTTTCAAGACCCGCTCTAATCGGGAAGCCTAATTTTTACTAATCTAAATTTCCAAATTCTTCGTATAGTACGTAGGTATATGAGTGTCGACAAGCGAAAACAGGGAATTTCGATTTTTGCCGGCTCCGCTTTCTGATCCGATTCCTGATAAATTTAAATTAAGCACAACATAACGATAAATTATAGGTGTGTTAAATCACATTTTTCGGGGTTTGATTTGTAAAATAATTTCGGAAAATTCACAATTCCCTGTTTTCGCTTGTCGACACTCATATGGAAATCGTTGTTCATACATTTTTGTAAGGGGTTTCGGTATCATGCCTTTTGGAAATAAACGGAATTTAAATTGTTTGCAAAATTTTCTTCGGATTAAGTAGACGACCCCTTTCATTCGGCACAGGGGTGTCGAATCATTCTATGTTACAAATAATAATTAACTAGTACAATTAATTAGCAAATGCTTATTTGCCACACCTCTGTTCCAAGTAGATGGGTCTCAGTAAATGAGCAACCTTATTTGAAAACAAATACGTCATTATTTTAATCAAATTAAGATTTTCACATTTTAATTCTAAAACCCTTATTATTACACGTACGTACGAAAATGTCCGGTTCCCGATTCAACTGATTCCTAATTATAGTGTTGTTACGTCAAAAGTGATACTAAGTTTTTTTTTATTGGACATGTGATATACGTACGTAATGTTGATTTAAAAAAGTTTAACGTTAACTTTTTTAAGAATAACTTTTTAGCAAAAGTTATATCGCAACAGATATGACGGCATGAATTTATTTAAGTATATAAACGATAATTTTTATTATATTTTTATTTAGAAAAAAATTAATAATAAAATGATCTTCGGATTTGTTTTTCTTTTGAGAAATTTACACAATCGTATGTACTAAGTGCTACGATACATGTGATACACGTCAAATGTCAAAAGGCATGCCAAATGCTACAGCATATGTAAGTTGACTTTTTGACGTACCTTCAAAATCTTAAGTTACGGTTATTGGGACGTAGAAAAGGTTGCGTTAATGATCACATTTCTATACCTATAATCCTTGTATGGGTATGTATGAATAACCTAGTTCATATTCGTGCCGAAGGCATATGAACCCGTGTGTGTAACTGGGTTATTCTTATACCCATATAATAACTATCTTATGCTCGGTGTCTGACGTAACAATCCTGTGCCAATAAGTAAATGAAAAAAGCACGGGTTGTCACATAAGACCCGTGCAATAAAGAACAGATTTTAATATAAAAAATTTAATTTTAATGCATTTTGACTGTTTCAAGCTTTTTTGACCTTGTTCTGTCAATGGTAATTAATTGAATTTTAGTAATTTATTAAAGTAGGGTATCTTAGTAAAACTTTTCACTGTTATAACAGTACTGATTGTCTCAACTGTTCACATACAGTAACGAAGATATCAAATCCTTATTAATCAACCACGTGTGATAGTTATCTTCATGATGTTAGCCTTTGTGCAGCATTCACAGTCGTAACTCAGACATGACCAATACGCTTTTCATAACGTTAAATATTATTGACTTATGTCGTAACTCCAAATATGTGACATAATATTTGGTGATACCAATCATTATTTTAGTGAACTCTCGATGAAGACTAATTAAAAGTATCAAAGCCGTTTTATTTAAATTCTTTCGAAATAGACCTTCGATAAAGAATGGATCATTTCACTAAAATTAGTGCGATTTATAAATAATTCTATATTATATAATAGATAATGTAATTATATAATATAGTAATTATTGAATTTAATCCAATATTTATAACTGTATTAACATGATTCTTAGAATTAAAATTTTTATTAATATTGCCTCTTTATTAGAAACCGCAACTTTAATAAAAAATTTAAACTGTAATTTTTCTATCTTGAAAGATAGTGTTTCACAAATTTGCAAAGTTTCTAAAAGAATTATTATATAACGTACCTATGGTGTTTTACACCTGTTATCAACAAACAAAATATGTGGTTGCAATTTACTAGAACATCCAAAAACAGAAGATATAAACAATGTTAATCTTTTTATAGGGGTAAGCTGTTTTGCCTACTTTTTATAAAAATTTTGTTGCAGACACAAATGGGTGATGGTAAAGAATATAGATTTTGTATTTTTACTAAAAAATATATATATTTTTTTGCAAAAGTAATAGAAAAAGTAAATCTAAACATACTGTTGATAGTTTTTTGCTAAGTAATAAATTTTAAACTTGTTAGCAAATAATATATAAAAACTATTTCTAAATAACAAATACTGTTTTCATGGTGAGTAATAAGCTTTAAACCTATTAGTAGATAGCATATGTGAACTATCTCTAAATAATAGATACTAGTTTATAGTTCTAATTAGTTTTTTTATTATCTTTCCTCTTATATCTTATATTTTAGGTGAGAAATTTTGATACAAAGAATCATCAAAAAGAGTTCTATATAGATTTTTTGAATTTTATAATTTTTATTATCTTATATAGTAAAATTAATTTTTACTATTTTTATTTTTTTAATTCTAAGATATATTTATTATATTAACTATTTGTTTAAACACAAATTACTAATTCTAGAATAATTAAAAAATATTAAAAATTTATATTTAAAGTTATTATAGTGAATTTTTATAAAAATAATTTTTTAACTAATACTTTAGCTATTTATACAGTATACCCGGAAGATTTAGATCATGACGGCCTCCTAACGTCTAATCTGAGGGCTTCTAAATCTTGCGGAGCCGTGCTA